TCTTTATTCCCACCATTGGCATACAGTTTTCATCCTCTGAGGCACCTCGTTTTCATACAGGGTCTCTTCCTTCAGTCTTTTGTATGTTTGATTGTTATGTAAAATTTGCTTTTATTTTAATATTGATGTCAGTATTTCAACTACTATAAAATTACAAACTTTTATACTTGGGTAAATCCCCTAGGAGCTAGTCCTGTGCTCTTGGAGGCAGGCATGCTTCCCACTGCTCAGAGCTGTCAATGGCCTCTAGCTGGCTGTATGAGAAGAAAATCACGTGCCCCTCCCACCCCTCTTCCCGTCTCCTCAGAACCTGGGTTGTGTTATGTATGAGCGTCAGATTCTAAGTCAGCTAATGTCTCAATTTTGTATCACTTCCTTTGTTTTTATATGGCCTTTTGTCTGTGTTGCTGTTTAGAGTAAATAAACTTTATATAAAGAAAAAAATAATCTTTTATGTCATTTGTGCTGTTTCCTCCTGCTTCATTGACACCTATTATTCTTATATTATTTTTCTTTGCATCGTCTTGTAGTTGTTGAATTGTTATTTCCAGGTTCCTTGTTATGTTATTTTATAGTTTTCCATTTTTCTTTTCTTTTTCTTTCTTTCTTTCTTTCTTTTTTTTTTTCAGAACCGAGGATTCAACTCAGGCCCTTGAGCTTGCCAGGGAAGCGCTTATTCTACTGAGCCATCTCCCCAGCCCTACTTTATAGTTTTAAGAGATCTTTTATTTCATGTTCAAGCTGCAACACTTTGAAGGTCAGAAAGTTTATCTTCAGTTTCATTCAAGCAGTTTTGCCAGCTTTCAATGGAGTTCTTAATTCCCTAGATAGCTATTTGAATCTGCTTCATGCATTCTAATTCTTTCCTGTATTGTTCATTCAGTGTTTCCATCATTTTTATATTCTCCTCTATTTTTCTGTTTATGTCTTCTTTAGCTGTGCTGAGCAATTTTTTCACAATTGTTGTCCTTTCTTTTTTGACCTGAGAGATTATTTCTGTTCTTATTTCTTCTATAGCCTGATGTAAGTGGGTCCTGCAGGCCACTCAGCATTCCCCTAAGTTCTTAAGAGCTTGGACCAGCACCAGCAGAATCTCCATGCCTGCACAGGGGGCTGTGCACTGGGGGGCTAAGCAAGGCCAGAGCTCACCAGAGTTGCATAGCGTTGGCCAAAATTCTTAAGTGACACCAGGAAAGCTCCGTGCTGTGCACACTGGGCCCACAGATCATGGTCTTCTGCATCCCACCTTTACCTTTTTCCATAAGATAAAAAAATAATGATTTTAAGAAGGTAAAGGAGTCCTAAAACAAAAAGGCTAAAAACAGATGCTTCATTTTGATTTTCCAGAGCATTGATGACAATTATATAAGTAAATCAAATATAATTAAATAAGAAGGAAAATGATGATGGATAAAATAAGGGAAAATGAGTAGAATTATATATTCACAGAAGAAGTAGGTCTTTGTGAGGGGGAGGCCAGCAGTATAGCCAACAAAGTACAGCTTCAGCATACATTTCTTTGAGCAAGTGAACCTTCCAACTTGGCCTTAGTTTCCTCCTGATAAATGGCAGGAATTATAGCACTGATCCCATACCATTATTCAGAGGATTGTGTGAATAAATATCCAAAAAGCATGTAAAATAGACTTGACTCTTAATACTAACTGCTCTCTGTGGGTCAGTTATTGTTATTTTAATAATAAGCAATAAATTTATGTCAATAGAGACAGGGTCTAGCCTGAAATAAAGAAACAGGTGCAGGGCTGGGGAAATAGCTCGGTGGTCTAAAGTACCTGCCTGACAAGCGCAAGAAGCTAAGTTCAATCCCTGGCACCACATGCTGTGCCAACCTTAGAGCCCTAAGAGTACCATTCCAGCCCCAAAATAAGGCATGGTAGTGCACGCATGTAATCCCAGTGCTGGGGAGGCTGAGACAAGAAGATCACTATGAGTCTGAGCTGTGTAGCAAGACCTTGTAACAAATAAAAAAATAAAAACAGGTGTAGCTGACCCTACTCCACATGCAGAGGTACCCCAAGGATTCAGAGCAATGTTAGCTTGGATTACTTTTGAATGCTAGTTCTGGAGTAGTTCAAATTATTCTTGTTCCTACACTAAGATTAATTTTCCTTTCAGCTGGGTTTCCATACACACACCCTTACTCTTAAGAAGGTAATATGCTTCCAAGAAAGAGCTTGCAAAGTTTTACAGTGAGAAAGTTGTTTTGCTTTGTTTTGGTTGCTTTCTTATTTCATATTGTTTGTTTGTTTGTTCCTTGCACACACTAGACAAAGCTCTATGAACTGAGCTATAGCCCCAACCTGAGAAAGATTCTTATAAAATGGTTTTTTACAATGCTAAAGAATATTCTGATTGGAAGGTGAAGAAATTATCTAAACCTTCTAAAGATATTCTCAGTAAGACAAACAGTAAATAAAAGACATATTTCAGATGTTCCAGTTCCTACGTCTTCCTACAATGCTATGTCAAGCAGGATAAATGTGACAGTAATTGGTTTCAATGTTACTAAAAATGTTGGGTTACCATTTTCAGACCTTGTTGGACTCAGTTGTGCCTGTTGTCTGTCTTTAACAGTAACTCCTCCAAGGCTCCCCATCATTTCACTTTTTTAAGGCACATTGTACCATGTAGGACTATTACTTTCTGTTTATTGCCTTTCTGCATTGTGTGACAGTAGAGATTTTTGCCATCATTCTTCAGAATGGGATCTAACATATGGGAGAGACTCTTCCCCCTCACCTCCATCCAGCTTTTGGTTTTAAATAGGAAATGGAATATATTCCTGCACATGCTGTGAAATCAGACATGGAGCCCTTATGTGACGTAAAATTTTTTAAAAAATATGTCTAAGTTTAAAAAAACTATGAGGCCTGCAAGCATTTAAGGGCCACTCCACAATCTGACAACTTTATGAGCCCAAATATGAAATGGACTTTCAAGAACTTACTCCAAAGCTGAATATTGTGGTACATGCCTATAAAACAAGCATAGGCAAGAGGATCACCAATTAGAGCCAGCCTGGAAATTCTAGCAACTTAGTAAGACCCTGCCTCAAAAAACCAAAACAAACAAGAACTTATATTTATGTGTTTATTTTTCAGTTATCTAATATTGTGTCCTTTAATTAATAATTGCTTTTCAGCTAGCTGTCCATTCTTGAAAGCACAAACTTCTGTTACACTCATAGAGGACTGAATGTAAGTGGTGCTCAAAAACAACTCAAGAGGCTAGGGAGATAGTTCAGTAGAATAAGCATTTGCCTGGCAAGCATAAGGGCCGGAGTTCAGTCCCTGGGTCTGCAAAAAAACCTCAGGATATTGATTAGTAGATATATCCTACTTCCCCAAAAGCTGTTTGCCAGTACAATTCTATATGGAATCTTTGAAAAGCAAGCATTAATGACTAAGAAATGTTACTAGTTCAATTTGTTCTGTACAAGATATTTTTTGTAAAGCATGTTATTCCTTTGCAAATACTTACTTTGTTTGTAACATTGTATTTTGGCACATACGGCTTACACAGATGAGTGCATTGAGACATATACACATTGGTGTTCCATCTACAACCTCAGTTCTGTGTCGAGTTGATGAATGATGAATGAGAAGGAGTCTCTTTAAGAGATTCGACTGATGTGTGTAACCACTAGAGAATTGTGTGTGGAAGGGGAATTGTGAGTACCTTAGAGGCAAAAACATTCCTGCAATCACCTTTGTCATTTAGAATCTAGCACAGACATCTTATAGGCATGCAGTACCTATTTGGCGAAGGAGTAAAAGCTTGAATAAACCAGTGATTAAATACAATCAAGCACAGACAATGCAATGAAAATTCAAACAGAAAGGCTCACTAGGGACAGCTCCAGGAAAGAAACAGCAATTTTACCTCAAAGAAAGCTTCAGATACTGGAACAAAGGGTAAAGGAATTTTGAATAGAAGTGTAACTTAGATCTGTGCATCTATTGGAGTGATTTTTGAGCACTTTCCTCTATATACTGATTTACAATTATGTACAGTATATTATACATTACTAATACGAAAGCTTTATATACACACAAAAGTAAGATTTTTGAAAGAGAAATGAAAGATAGAATGCTATTTGTTTAATAGTGTGTATTCATGATACATTGTTATTTTGACCGGACACAACTCTATATTTCAAATAAGTTTTTTGTAATTTTAAGCTATTGTCTCTCATATCTTCTCATCATGTTGGCTTAGATCAAGTTACCTCAAAGTATGGCTTATGAAGAATTTATATACTTGTAGGAGATATGTCTCCTGATCCAATTTGGTTGTTATTTTCATACCTTCCCACATTTTTCATATTATCCTTATTTCTTTGAAGGAACTTATTTTAATTACTTGTAAGAATCAACTTCACTAGACCTGATAATGAAATCTCACTTTTTCCAAGTACATAATATATTAAAAGATAGACAAATGCATAAGAATACCCTGAAAAAATGAAGTAAATCTTACTCACAGTAGAGTATGCTGTCACCATGTGATGCCACACGGACTGAGAGTGCCAGGGCTGCAGGTCACTTTGAAACTATTAACATCCCTTCCTGTGTAAAAGGAGTTAGCAAGTCACATAGCTGGAAAGGTAGAATTGTGGAGTCAGGTAACTAATGAAGTTAGAGATTTTTGGCATGATAACATAGGTTATTGAGAATATTTTCATATTTTAAGGAAGTAGGTTGGGCTGAGATGCAGCTAAGTGGTAGAGCATATGCCTGGCACCTCTCAACCCTAGGTTCAATCCCCAGTGAAGTAACTGGGAAAAAGTTCCTATTCGTATGTTTGTCTTGCAAATTGAGTAGTGAAATGTAAAACCACAGTGAAGCAGATTCAGAGGAGCTATAACCAAAACTTATTGCATATTTACCATTAACGAGCCCCTTCAGTCAACTTTTATGTAATTGTCACCTTTCAGTTGTGAGATTTTGATTGCTTTTTTCCTTCCTTGGTCTTGGCAGGAGAGAGCCAGGAGCAGCCTAGTGTACCTGGTGAGCCAGCTGGCCAACATGGAGCATTCGTTTCACCACATTCTCCTGCTAGAGATCAAGAGCATTACTGATGCCTTCTCCTCCATCCTGGGTCCTCAGAACAGGGACATCTTTCGCATGAGCAACAGCTTCACCACCATTGCCAAGCTACTGTCCAGACAACTGGAAAATACCAAAACTGTTAGTGACAGGTGAGCAGGCCCTCCCTGAGCTCCCTCAGGGAGCTGTTGGGAACCAGTGAAGGTGGAACTCAGACAGATTTCATACATTGTAGCCATATATTTTCCAAAGAAAGCCAAGCCCCTAACTTAACAGAGAGGAACTTCAAAACCAAAAATAATTTTAAAAATTCTAGAAGGTGTACAAAATGTGGCAAAGGAACCAGAAGATAGTTTAAATAATAATGCTGTACAGCACTCATTTATTTATTCAACAAATGTATATATATATATATATATATATATATATATATATATATCAGCAGACTCAACACATATAAAGAGCTGGAATATGTTCCTTGTATCCCAGGGAGCTAACTGTCCAGTAGAGGAAATAAATAAATTAGAAACTATCAGGTTGTTGTGCTGTGTTCAGAGAGTTTGGCGAACACTGAAGAGGGGATGTACTGCATCCACATGAGCAGAAGGGGTGAAAGCTGAGATCAGAGAAGTTTTCCAGAAAAAGTGATTTTGCTTTAAGAGTAGGAAACAAACTAAGGAATAGGAATAGCTCCAGAGAGACAGAGGTGTTCCCAAGTGGGTCGCAAACAAACTGACCTCTCTGAGCAAGTTTTATAGAACAAAATCACGAGGTAAGTACAACATGGGTCAAAACTATAATAACCAATATGTTATGGTTGAGTGAACCAAAAATAGTCCAGGTTCTTGTGCATGACCAGGAAAGAATTGCCAAGTGTATACCTCATAGTATGTAGTAAGTAGCTACATTTACTGAAAACCATGGCATGACAGCAGGAACAGGGAGAAGGGCCAAGAGAAAGAGGGGGAAGGAAAAAAGGGCTTGAATGTATAAGAGAAAAACAGCTCAAGTGGAAAGGGGAAAACACAAAGGGCCTCGCTAACCCATGCTTCCAGTATTTATCGCGTCAGGTACTCGTGACCCAAGGTGACTCTCTCCATGTGAGCAATCTACACAACCTCCTAAACCTAAACCCAGAAAATCATTAGGGCAATTCTAAGAGTAAGCCAGATAATCATTAGGATGCTCCTTAATTTAAACTCAGGTGATCATTACGATGGTGTGTGGCACTTACAGTTGAACAAAGAGAAGGAAGTGACTTAGCTCCTTTCTAACTGTACTAAATAAGATTTCAAGTATAGCCACTTGGCTGACACTCTTAACCTTAGTTAATAATCTAGAGTCTTAGTCTTAGCATTAGTCTTAGTGCGTGGGAGAAAATGGCTCACACCTAATGAGATAGTGCTTTATTTATATGGAAAATCCCAAAAGGGCAGTACCAATCATCTTAAATTTTCATTTATCCCTTGGGGAAGTATATGAATCTGGCCATTGTGATTTTAATCTTTTTTACACGTACCCCCATAGTCCCCATGTATTCTCATCTTCTGCACTGACTTGCACAAGGACCCAGCCCTGGCTGGCTGACTATAATATTTCTACCTATGTATCAGTCTATAATATTCCCCACAAGCAGATATTCCAAACTGTGCAGTTGAAAGACAGGAGTGTAGCATGTAGCTGCTTTGAGTTAAGAAGGGTCAGTGTAAGGGAGATTGAAGTTAGGGCCTTCTCCAGAGAGCTCATCTACTGGGGCTTGAATAGAGGTGATATTGCAGTTTAGAAGTTATGAACGCCCTCCACAAGCTTGACCTAGTGGGCCCTGGTAAAAGGAGTCTGGCACATTTGTTGTTGGTTCCATCTGTGCAATCACTTGCAGTTTGGCAGCCTCCAAGTGAGAGTAAACAAATTTTCAAATAAATTTTCAAAGATAAATAGTTGGAAAGATAGCTCAGCAGTCTAAGTGTCTGCCTGGCAAGCACAAGGACCTGGCTTCGATCCTGAGTGCCACATGCCTTGTGGACCCTGTGCCATTCTGGCCCCAGAACTGGGCATGGTGGCACACCCCTGTAATCCCAGTGCTAGGGAAGCTAAGACAGGAGGATTACTACAAGTCCGAGCTACGTAATGAAACCCTGTACCAAATAAATACACAAATAAATAATTTTCTTTTTTAAATTAAAGCATATATAGTCACAGCATTAATACTAGAATGGAAAGCCAGGTCGGGAAAAAGTCATGTCCAGACACTGCTCTTAAAGGACTGGAATAGCAATTGTAACCAATTGGCTTAGGCCCCTCTAGTGATGGAGGTTAACTGTAAGTTTAATTTTTTTTTGTCATAAGTCCCTTTAGTTTTAGCTGTAAGACAGGGAATTTGGTGGTTTCAAAAGAAAATTGTATTTATTTATTTAATCAAAAAATTTTTTATATGTACAGGTCTCACTACAGGTTGAACTCATAATGATCCACCTGTTTTCAGCTTCCTCAGTGCTGAAATTACAGGCATGTACCACCATGCCCTCAGCAGCCAGCTGGGGGTGGGGCTAGTACAGCACGTGGTGCTGGGGATCAACAAAAGGAAAATTTTAGCTAAGGAATGTAAAGACTCTTTCTGAGCTTTTGTAGCTTCTGCCATAGACTTTTAGCTTCATAACAGTGGTCAGCTACCAGTGTAGCTGGAAACTACCAGAAGGGGTCAGCAACTGAAGTCCCTTTTTATATCTAGGATTTGTGACTATGGTGTTGTTTTCTTTTCTTTCTTTTTTTTTTTTTTATTAATTTTATTGAGAAACAAATTGCAATGAGACAGTTTCAAAATAGGTTAGTAGGACAGTTACAATAATTAATACATTATATATTGTTGTCTTCATAGTAGTTATTCATAGTACAAGATGAAGACATGATATCCTGTCCAAACACTATTAGTACAATTCTTTCCTCTCATTGAATTGAGAAAAGTAGCTGTATATCTATCCTAACTATTTTTTATATACAGATAGAAAATGGTCCTTCATTTCCATCCCCTTTTTTGTTTAGTTTTGTCAGAGAAGGGTATTCCATTGTTATTTAAATATTGTAGGTGCGTGAATTCAGAAAAATATTCCAATATAGTCCAGTAGCCCATAATAGTAGTGGGTTATCCGTAGGACTGGCAATGTCAGAAGTTGTTGACTTGAGCCTTTTATAGCTCAGCATATTAATATGGCTTTACTTTTTATACCTTGTTTTTATACTTTGGGATTTAAAGTTTAACATACCAATACTCGATGGAAAAATACCTGTTCCATGTTATGTCTAAGATATTTGATATTCAGATAGTGAGGTTGAGCTCACCTGCCTATGTTATAGGGTAATAATATTAAGATTCTCTTCTGAAGTGTTAACAACTTAAGTCTGCAGACCAAAAATTAAAGAAAAAGAAGGGCTGCAAGGACAGCCAACATTTTGGCCCTAGCCTTTCAAAGTCAGTGAGGACTCAGGACATAGGAGGACCTATAATGTAACATCCTGTAACTCAGTTATGTCCCAAATTTTCCGATGTTGTTTTCATATACGTTTTTATTGTAGTTTTCTGCTGGGTGTTTAACACCAAGTTAAAGTGAGACTGTGTTAATCAAAATTACCCTCTTGCTGTCTATCAAGTCAGTCTCCTCTGGCATTAGTTTTGTAACCCTCTACAGAACTTCTCAGCTCATCTGTCAGCGTCAGCTGCCAGGATGGGTACAGTCTTGCTTGACCATGTTGCCTTCTGTGAAAGCACAGGAAATTTTTTTCTCTTTGGTTACTCTCTTTTTCTGACACACTGTACCTTCATTGATTCTTCTCCTCTGGGTTCCAGAAATGTCCCTGCTCAAGATTGGGTAACTCACAAAAGTTGTAGAATCCTATAGAAAAGGTGCCCTCATGTTCTGGACCCTCATTTACTTTGGAAGGCCAGGTCAAAATATTGGCTGTCTTCAGCCCAGTTACCTTTCTAGTTCTGGTCTCCAAACTTTAGTTGTTGAATATCCAGAAGAGAAAATCAGTTACAGCAGTATTACAATGGGATCAGTGAGCTTAGCTATTATAATTTCAACTAGATCTCAAGCACTTTGAAACATAAAGTATAGCCAGAGGACTGTTATTTCTTACCAATCATAGATATTTCAGAAGTTGAATTCCCGCAGAGGTGTAACAGACAATAATTGTAAAGTTTTACAGAGAAAACTTGAGATCAAGGGCCACATATACCATTTTAGCATGACAATCATGATATTACCTTTGAAACACATTTAAATGACTCTCTTAGTACAGAATAGCCTTTTTAATCATTAATCTCCATCTAGTACACAAAGAAGCTCTCACCTGGTTTGTTATTCTTTAATGAGGTATTATCAAAGAAGTCTGTGACATTGTCTGCACTCCTCAGTGCCTGAGCATCTCTAAGTGTTGTGACACACATTAGCTCATACATCATATAAGGTCTTAAAAAAAAAAAAACAAAACTATCATTTGACAGGTGATATCATACTGGCTTGACATGAACTTCTTATCACAAGTAGCTGAAGTACAAGATAAAAGCAGGTATCTGTCTCCTCCCAGCTATCTCACTGGAACCTCCAAAATGGTATGGGGGATATAAATATAACTCCCAACCTGCTAGATGTCAGATATACTGTGTTTTTGTTTCCTGAAGTTGAAGAATGAATTCTAAGGAACAGAGGAAAACTACTGGAGTATAATAATGAAGAATAGCTCCTGGAAGACAAGAGGGATCCCAAGTGTGCTGCCCCAAAAGTGAGGTTTTGAACCAAATGTTGAGAGATGATCAGACTGCAGGCTGTTTTGTGGGAAGCAGGTAAAAAGTCCTGGCACTTCCTAAAAACAGGTGTCATTTTTTATGACTAAGGAGTGTTACAGGAAGAGCAACATATGGAGATGAAGCAGTAGGTAGGAGCCACAGGCTGGTGGGCTTGCCACACGTTCCTAAAGATGTTGAACATACTCTCATTTCTCTACAGATCGTATAAATCTTTCGTTTTCTACTAAAGATTTTTGAACTTCTCTGTTTAGACGTATTTTGTCCATGGTCCAATATGGTTAGAATCTACTGCAGGAAATTCACTTTGTTCTTATGGCTGAGAATGTCTCAGTCTTCTGAGACAAAAAA